GCTCAAAAAATTAAATAATTTAGGTAATAAATTGTTAGAAAAGATCGTGGTCAAGAATAAATAAGCTTAGAGTGTGAAAAAGTTAATGCTATACCATAAATAAAAGAGGATAATTTCTGGAAATGGAAGCCTATTTCAGATTTTATGCGAAATCTAACGCCAAACATTAGTAACTCCTTATCTCTCAGCTAATTGCACGCGTCGGATAAGTTGGAAATAATAAAATGGCGGTTATTTTTCGTGACGAGTCCTTATCGAGCGATCTACGAGGCAAGAACATTCGTTTCTCGTGGCGAAAGAAGTGGTACTCGACAACTTCGTTCGTCACCGACTGCCACGAGTCGGGTTCTTGGATCGATAGAAAGCGGGAGAGAACTGTGTTTCTCGTTGGAGGCGGAAGTTTGCTCACCTTCGCCGGATGTGAAGGGGCATACCAATCCCGGCATCAGCACGCAGAACAACAGGAACAGGGAACACGATTTCGGCCTCATCGCGGATTAGGTGTCACCGTCGTTCGTCGATCATTCGTTCATTTTACGCCGTTGAACAGAGGTATGGAAGGAAACGGCCACACTTTTCACTGTGAAATTTTCGATGGTCGCGAACCGCACCTGTAACGAAAAGATAAAATTTTTTTTAAAAATTAATTATAATAAAAAGTGAGAATTGAAAAAGGATTATTGATTTAAAATTGAAAAATCTGAATTTTAAATTTAAATTTAAATTTAAATTTAAATCCAAAAGTTTTATTCTTCAGACTGAAATATTGATTTAATAATTTAAACTTTGAAGAAATGTATGTTATTCACAGATAAATTCTCATACTTTTTAACATCTAATAGAGGAATAGTATCAGGATGTATCTGATAAGGTTAATGCGATTGTTTCCACGTGAATGAATAAAGCAGCGCGCATTCATTATCCGTTTCTGCGGAATGTTTTAAAGAAGCGTGCTCCGCTGTATTCAAGGAAACGGATTAACGTTGCATGAGTATGGCTGGTACACGTAGTCCGTCAGTCATGATTAATTAACGTAAATGAACGAGCAAGTTTTTTCACGGATTGTATACAAAGAACATATAAAAAGACTGGCTTCTAGACTCTTTGCTCTCCCATTTCCACGCTCTACGTACCTACATATTCGCAAAATTACATCGTGAAATCGGCTAAAAACTTGCTATTGAATAATGAACAGAAACTTCCGTTTCCAGATTATCAGATACACGAGTTCTTGTACACCGTCAACCGATACCGAAAATATTATTTCTTCTCCGTATTATTATTATTATCCCCTCGTATCCCCTCGAGATTCGCGATGAAAAATCCCGGCTAAATTCCACCTCATTCAAAAATATTTCGTCATTGAAACAAAAGAGCCACTCTTGATCCCTCTCGTCTCGAAATCCTCCTAAGTTCCTCGTAAATTCAACCTCAGCTTTGAATTTTGTAGCTTCTTAAAATCCGTATACATCCTTCAGATGAGGGGAAAAAAAAAAAAAAATGAAAGAGAAATAGAAGAAAAGAGTTTGGAAAAAATTAACGGTTTCGAACGGAGTCGATTCGCTGGAAGCCACCCCTTCGAAGGGTACGTTTCCATCGCGAAAAATACGAGGGTCATACATACCATATTTTCTCAAAAAAAAAAAAAAAAAGAAAGAAAAAAGGAAATATGAAAATTTCTTCATGGCAC